TGTTCACAAACTAAAATCTGGAACTACAAGACTCCAAATCACCCTCTCTCAGTTCCCAATCAAATATTAAGTTGAAAAGAACAAGTTGTCCAAAAATAAGCTCAATCGGACAAGAAACGAAGTGGGAATCACGATTTGAAATTGGCTAGGGCTTGTGCGAAAATCTGCACTTTCTCACTTTTCTCTCTATATGGCTGCTCTCAAACTCTTGTGATTATTCTCTAAATAAGACCTAAAAGAAAGTCTTACATATGCACCATAATATTGGGCTTATGGACAAAAGTGGGCTAGTCAAATTTGGGCTAAATTTATCCACAAAGGAAAAGAAGGAAGACCCAAAACCTTGGACTTTTATTTATCCACATAGAAAGGGAAAAAGACCCAAAATCCAACAAAACGAACAAGAATTTGGGTTTTAATTTGGGTATATTATCAAGGTGTTAGTGAGCGGGTGAGTTAGATAATTGTTTGATGGGATTTTTTAATCCAGGTGGTCTTTTTTTGGATTAAAATTAAGTGAGTAATCGAATGGATGCACAAAATAATAACACGTATCCGTCCGTTAATGTGAAGAATACAAGTATTTCACATTTTGGACGGTAAGAACTCTGATGTCTCGATAGTATAATAAAGGATATACGTATACTATTTTCAATAATTCAGAGATATGTCTATCTGTTTTCTTTATATTTTGTTACAAAATACTCTATATGTATGTCTTTAGTCCATGCCTCTTTGTTTTCATGTATCTTAGACCAGTGGTTTTTATGTTAGATACCATTATCTAATTTTATCATTATTTTGTATCATGAAGCTCTTGATAGTTATTTTTTTTTATACAAAAAGGCTCAAATATTTTTATCAAATTTTGAGAAAAAAATGTTCACTTATGATTTCTGATAAAAGTTTTGTTCAGCCATGTTATTTTCGTTTGAGAAAAAGTTCATTCATGTTATTATTTGTTAACTGAAATGACATAGATGAGCCAAACTTTTAACGTATGATATAGATGAACCTTTTCACAAAGTTCGATAGGATATTTGAGCCTTTTTATTTTTAAAAAAGTGATTTAATCAATGACATGATTGAATCGTAATTGACCATGAGTAAAAAAATATTTTGCAAAACCGAAACTTTTTTCAATTAATTAACAATGGCACGAATGAGTTTTTTTTCCAAACGAAAATGACATAGATAAGTCAAACTTTAAGCAGATGACATAGATGAACTTTTTCCGAAATTCAATCATTTGAGTCTATTTCCTTTTTTTTAATTAAACTAAATTGACTCAAATTGTATTTCATGATTCAGGGATTTCAGATAACAATAAAAACAAATACAATTGAACTTGAAAATGTAAATTTTGATTTTTGTCAACTTGTTTAGTTTTGCTAATTTCGTCTTAATTACTCTGCCGAATTCTCGAGGATTCAAATGAATGAAGGAACAGGGAAGGTCGGTGGTGACAGTGATGGCGGCGAATGGTGGTGGTATTAATGGTGACAAGAGATAAACGGAAAATGAAGACAGAAAAAACATTAAAAAGAAATGTTTTTTATTTTTTCGGAAAAGGCTTATTTGTGTTTAATGAATATTTTTTAATAAAATTGAAGTGTCTAATTGAAATAAACCTTAGATAAAGTATCAAATTAAAAAAAAATGTGGCTAATTTGCTGGACCCGTTATGTGTTTAGCCTTTACATTTTTCAACATAAATGAAACAAATAGATATCGTCAATTATTTTTACCATTCTAAACAACTATAGGAGAAAAATATACTAGAGGGGATCCTTTCCTCAATTTTATAATTTAATTATGATATGTCAATCAGGTAATTATAATTCAAAATCTGTTCTAATATATTGGTAATGGAAATGAATATCTCAATGATAATGTGTGGATTTGCTAACTAGTACTCCTTACTATAGAAAGTACAAATGGTTTAAGAATTTTTTGTTAATTTATCAGATGATTATTATACTCTTTTTAGTGATAGCATATTAAGTAATTATGTTAATCAAAGTTTTTTAATAGATTGAAATAATTGAATTCTTTTAAGTCCTATCTCCATTGACAATTGAGAGAAAATCTATTTGGTATGACCTATAGAAATAGGAATAACATTTTTAATATTTATTTTTTTTACTTTCATTTGATAGTCAAAATTATTTTATATAAATAACTATTTTAAGTTTTAAAATATCATAGTATATTACCCTATCAAATATTATTATATATTCCAAATTCATACATTTTAAGGGTGTATTGTGAATGGAGCTTCTGTGAATGGTATAGTTATAACTTATATATGATTTAGATTTCCAAAGAGTCCCAAGAAATTGTAATGATGAATTTCTTTTTAGAAACAATATTAAAATTACTAAGAAATGTAAAATTTAACTAACAGAAAGAAAGAAATATAAACTACTTATTTTTTAATAAAAATATTTTAGAACTTTAATTGAAACTACTCAAATCATCAAATTAATAAATATAGTTTTTACATTAAGATCCAAGACAATGTATTGAAAACACATAATTAATGTTTTATAACTTGAAATAATTCTTATTATTATAAATAATCAATACTATATTAAAATATGAAGTTCCTCATAAATGTTAATTGAACTTTTTGCCTTTTCCTTTGCAATACTCAAATATAAAAAGTACACAACTCTTGAAGCATCACACTATTTGTGGCAAAATTATCAAATTGTTAATCTCTTGATAAATGATTTTCAGTTTTCTTTCATCATAATTTCTAGGTTAATTTCTTAATTAATTGTTACTAAACAATTGTTTTGTGCCTTGTGTTGAAAAGTTAAATGAAATGAAGGTGTTATGAATTGGTTACTTATTAAATAAACAGTGACAATTAAAATATAACGAATGAACGCCCAAATTAGTTTCTTTAAGGCCAACACTGCAGATTGATTGAACAAATTAGCCTATAACTGAATTAGTGAAGCTATGGTGTGAACGAATTGTGGTACAATCACTCCCTTCATGTTTCTTCTCTCGATTCTATTTTTCTTGTTCTTCTCTCTTCTCTACCTAATTTCTCTTTTTTCTGTTTCTTACAGATTCTGCTGATGGGACTTCATATCTTAATTTAGACTCATTTGTATTATTTTCTAATTGTTATTTTGTGCACCATTGTGACTTGTGGTTATTAATAAATATAGGAAATTATCCCAAATTAATTGTGAGCAGTTCATTACAAAAGGCAATTATCAAGAAAATGTGTGATTATGAGATTTCATTTGATTGTAATATATTTTGGAAGCCAAATCAATTTGGATATGTTAGTGGAAATACAATATTACTTTGCTTTAGTTATGCATTATGCCAAATATAGTTGTGATTTCTTGAACTTAGTAATTTTACTATTTTAACTGTAAAAAGTTGGCAGTTATAATTAAGATAAGGATTAGTTTAATAGGTATGATTTTTACCAAATATAATTTTAGTGTAACAGAATTTGAATTTGTCAGGGGCTATAATTAAAAAATTGTTATAACAAAGTAGTAATAGTAATATTGAATATCTCATATTCTCATTGATATTAGAAATTCCTCCATCCATTCCCGTCGCTTTGAGTTTTTTTCTAATCTTCTTCTAGTTAATTATGATGACATGAAATTGGCAAAATAAATCAATGAAGCTTAATAATAAGGGTGGAAGGCAATTTTAGTTATCTCTCGTCAAATAATTACAAATAAGCAGATATACCACGGAAGTCAATCCCTCACAAAGCAAGAAACAATGAATATATTGGGTGATCATTTGAATCTGAGTTTGCCAAATGATCGTATATTTGTATGTCAAGTAAATACATTGTTATGAACCAAGTTCAGCCTAATGTGGATATCAAGGTCACACAACTAGTTATTGGGCCGAAAACGAGCAATAGGGCCAGGTTAATTTGAGATCCGGGTTGAGTAGTGGACATGAAACGGTTCCATCAAAAAGAGTAGTGATATGTGATTTAGGGAGGATGCAAATTGTTGAGAAAAATGTTTAGTCCTCTCATCCCCTTTCTCTGAGTTTTGCTTCTCATCCTTTTCTTCTACTCGTGTTCTTCAATTTCCCTTTTAGTTCTTAATTCCTTTGTAATTCCAATTACGAATTAGTGAAATATATCTATAGGTTATTTTGAGTTTGAATTGTGTTGGTCTAGTTATTGGGTTTGTTACAGACATATTGTGACAGATCATCACGAGTACTTATGATGGATGGGCTTGCCATGGCTAGGAGTTTAGAACAAATTGTATCATAAATTTGGAACAAATTCCGGCCAATCAGCAGGAGTTTATGATGGGTGGACTTGCTACGAGTGTTGTCATATCTTTTCGACTTCATTACAAATCATGTAATGTAGGAACAAATTTTTCACAATTTTTGGGGAAATGGAAGGAGGAAGAGAAGAGAGGAGCACAAGTTCTAGCTGATGTCAATTAAACTTTTTCAACATGTTCAAAAAGTTCAACACACGCCTTTAAGAAAATACTTTGAAAATGTACCTAGCATTTGCAAGTAAATTACAAATAACTAATTCTCTATTAAAGCAAGTGTGAAAGAACTTTTTTGCTCTTTGCTTTCCTTCTACTTGGTTTTACTTATTCATTTGATTCTTCTGCTATTATATATTGTTGCATCTCCATATTCTATTAATATATATGTTTTGTAGTTCTACTTTCAATTTGATATGCCCTGATTTTGCTAAACATGAAATTGACACCATTGATTAACATTTCTAATTAATGCTTTATATATTGCTTTTGTCGCTGCGATTTGCCTAACACATTTGATTCACAGGTTCCAAAAGAAAAGCGAAAAATAAAGAGAGAAAGATAGATATGTCATAAGATATATAGATCATAGCATTATAAATTAAACTTTGTCTAAGAAAGCTCTCATAAAATGATTCTTCAATACATAAATAAAGGATGTGCTAGATTAACGATGTCCATAATTCTTCATTACATAAATAAATAAAGAATGTGCTAGATTAATGATTTCCAGGGAGTAGTGTGCCCGAAAGGAAGTGAGAAATAAGGGAAAGGGCTCTAGCAGGTTGGTAGCTTGGAACTTCATGTCCCGCGCCTCTTACTGTTGCAAATGTTAGACCTCCTTTATATGTCTCAACATATCCTCCAATCTGCAACATAAATATCCAAACAAAATTGTTAATTTCATTTCATTGAGAAATCAATGAAATATAGAATCAAGTTTTATGGTGAGAAGCAATAGTTGTTTAATTTGATGATCAATGTTTGTATTTTTACGATTTTACCTCTCCTCCAGATAACCAAGAGCGCCATGGTTGATCAACTATAAGGTTCATTGCTTTTATGGATTTCTTCGTAGATGTTACAGGAACTGCTCCATCAATATCACCACTGTATATACAAATATATAAGATGATCAAAATGAAAAAAAAGTACTAGTATAATGGGGAATAAAATTACCTGAAAATCCAAACTTGAACACCGTTTTCCAAAGACTCTGTGAGGAGAGGAATTATAGTTGCCGGGCTGTCTTTCCAGTTGTAAAAGAGTGGATCACTGAAATAGAAAAAGAATTATGAGCATTGAATAAAAATTTTGAGGATTTGTGTGCATTTAACTGTTTGTATTTGCTGATGGGATTAAGGTGTTGGAGTTGCTAATAACCTGCAAGATTCCCAATCATATTTGATGTTCGTAACATTGGCATGGAGTGCATCTTGAACATCCCGCCTGTTCAGATAAGCATGAACGTACTGGTCGGAGCAGGCCTCAAACACTAATGGCTGCATCAAAATAGCTCATTAACTCAAATCTATGTTTCTTTTATACGGGATAGAATGTGGATATTGGTAATAATAAAGGAAAATGCAGAGTTGTCCCACTTACTGATGGTACTTTTGGGTATTTCGTGAGATTTCCATCCTTGCAAAGAGGGGAATAAATGTTGTAAATATTGATATGATTCAAATTGTTGTTTGAAACTGCTACTGCCTCATTACAGTTGCTCTTATTGTAGTGATTGTCAAAGCAATATTTCTTGATGTCAAGGAACGTTTCATCTGAAATGAGCGCATGAGATGCATAGTATTCGTACATTCCTATGATGTCTGTGTCATCATTAATCACTGCATTCCCAATCTGGAATTTGTAGATACAACAAGTTAACATTGTTAGTGTAATTTAACATGTTGTAACAGACCGGTTAAAATTAGAGATTACTTACAATTATTCCTTTGAGATTGATAAGAGTCTTGTTTGATAGCTTGTTATGCTGAAGAATTGTATGTGCCAATTGAGGAACATAATGTCCAGCATAACTCTCACCAGAAATGTAAAAATCTCTGTTCTTGTACTCGGGAAATCTCTCGAGCCAATTGAGTAAAAACACAACATTATCACTAACAGTTCTACTATCTCCAGTTTTATTGAGGTCGCTGCTTGTATTTGTATATGAAAATCCTACTCCAGCAGGACACTCCAAAAACAACACATTGGCAACTATAATTCAATAGGAGAAAATTAGTATTCTGAGTTGAGAATTGTTCATTCAAACATTAATAGGAAATTATGTTACACAAAAAAGAGAACTTTCTTTTTACCAAGATTCCACGCATAATGATTCCTATGTAACGTTTGCCCATCACTATTAGCTCTAAATGGACCAACCTCCTCCATGGCCCCATATGCGATAGATGAACATCCAGGACCTGAAGTATTGTTTCATAATCAGAACTAATTTTTGAAGTGTTTCTGTATATTTTTCAGATCTCTTATGTGGTAAAATGAAGATCTGTCATAAAAAAACCATAAAATTTTACAAAGATTAGGGTGGACTAATTGTAGTATTCATTTTCCCCTTTTTGATCAAACACAAGAAAATAACAAAAGGTTTATATCAAAACTATATAGATCCAGAAGAAAATCCCTTTTTCTGATCTTTATGTGTTAAAAATGAAGATCTAAAAACCATAAAATTTTAGAAATAGTCAGGTGGAGTAATGTAGTGTCCTTTCCCCTTTTTTTTTGATCAAACACAAAAAAATAACTTTCAAACAGGATGCTAAATAAATATAGACAATTGCTGCTTGTATATACCTCCATTAAGCCAGAGAAGCAAAGGCAATGCGTTAGAATTCTCAGCTTCAGTGAAGTAATAATACAAAGCACGACCAGCAGATTGATTGACAGTAACATAACCACCATATTGTTGAAACTTTACTGGTGGTTGTCCAGGCAATTTGTTGATCCAATCTTTTTCTTTTAATCCCTCCTGTGGATGAATAACTTTGTCCAATTCTACATTTTCAACGGCTGCCGCCTTATAGTAATTCTTGCCAAAGGCTGAATCCTGCTTTGCCTTGTAAAATTTTCCAAGCACTTCACTTTGCTTTTTTCCAAGGCTTGAAGCAATAAAGTTGGAGAAAAAGAGGGCAAAAAGAAGGAAGTAGGAAGTGAATTTTCCCATTGTTGTGTGTGTGTTGTGTTGAAAAGTTAAGTGAGATGAATGGTATTTATCATGAAACTGTGGAATAGATTTCTTGAATTTAATAATTTTACTATTATAATTATCAGAATTTGGCACTATTTTATATTGGTATGTCAATCAAATTCAAAAGTGTTATAATAAAATAATAATATGAATGAATATTTCAATGATATTATGAGAATCTTATATTTTTTATTCCTTATAAAGAGGTTAAAGATTTTCTTGTTAAGATGAATTATTTTGCTTTTTTTTTAAGTGATACCATTGTCGATTGAAAGACAGCTATAAATAGTTCTATGCCTTTTGCCATCCATTGTCGATTGAAAGACAGCTATAGAAATACAAATAACGCATTACTTGAAAATGTCAATGGCATTTACAAATTAATTGAAAATGACTAATTCACTGAATATGGTAGTTGCACTTATGCTAAACATTTGATATAGTCTTGACAATAATCATAACTGGGCAGTTTACCTAACATGTTTGATTCACAGACGAACATGTTTCAAAAGAAAAGCAAAAAATAAAAAGAGAAAGACAGAGAGGGATGACATAAATTAATCAATCGTGTTTATATTAATCTTTGTCTAAGAAAGCTCGTAAAATGATTCTTAATTACACAAATAAAGGATGTGCTAGTTTAATGATCTCCAGGGGGTAACGTTCCAGAAAGGAAGTGAGAAATAAGGGATAAGGCTCTAGCAGGCTCATAACTTGGAACTTCATGTCCCGCGCCTCTTACTGTTGCAAATGTTAGACCTCCTTTATATGCCTCAACATATCCTCCAACCTGCAACATATATATCCAACAAACATTGAGAAATATTGAATCAAAAGTCGTTTGACGAGCATATTTTGTTTTTTTTTACCTCTCCTCCATTCAACCAAGAGCGCCAAGGTTGATCAACTGTAAGGTTCATTGCTTGTATAGATCTCTTTGAAGAAGTAACAGGGACCCTTCCGTCTGTATCACCACTGCATTTAATTTCCAAGTACAAATATATGTTAAACATTCTGTGATAAGAAAGAAAAAAATAGTATAATGAGGAAAAAATTACCTAAAAATCCACACACGAACACCATTTTCCAAAGACTCTTTGAGGAGAGGAATTATAGTGACCGGGCTATCTTTCCAATCGTAAAAGAGTGAATCGCTGAAATAGAAAAGAATTATAAGCAGTGAAGCATAATGAAAATTGTAAATCAAACAAGTAGTAAAGCATTTGTATGAATTTAAGTATTTGTATATGGGATAATAACCTGCAAGATGTCCAATCATATTTGAGGTTGCTAACATTGGCATGGAGTGCATCTTGAACATCGCGCCTGTTCATGTAAGCATAAATATACTTGTCGGAGCAGGGGTCAATCTGCAATGGCTGCATCAAAATTAACTTAAAATCAATATTTCTACATTATCTTATACGAGAAAGAATGTAGATATTTTTAAAAGTATGAGCAAAAATGAAGAGTTATCCCACTTACTGTCGGTGTTTTTGGATATTTAGTTAGATTTCCATTCTTGCAAAGGGGATAATAAATGTTGTAAATGTCAAGATTGTTCAAATTTTTGTTTGTAATCTCAGCTGCCTCATCGCACTTGCTCTGATTGTAGTTATCATCATAACAACTATTCAGGATGTCATGGTACGTTTCATCTGAAATTAATGCGTGAGATGCAAAGTATTCATACATTCCAATTGTGTCTGTGTCATCATTAATCACAGCATTACCAATCTGCAATTGGTCACATGGAACTTGTTAGTACAATTTAACTTATGTACACTGACAGTTGTAACTCGATAGATATCACTTACAATTATTCCTTTAAGATTGATAAGAGTCTTTTTCTCAAGCTTATTAAGCTGAAGAATTGCATGTGCCAATTGAGGTACGTAATGCCCCGCGTAACTCTCACCAGAAATGTAAAAATCTCTGTTCTTGTACTCGGGAAATCTCTCGAGCCAATTGAGTAAAAACACAACATTATCATTAGCAGTTCTACTATCTCCAGTTGTATTGAGATCACTGCTTGTATTTGTATATGAAAATCCTACTCCAGCAGGTGACTCCAAAAACAACACATTGGCAGCTAATTCAATAGGAGAATTAATTAGTACTCTATACCCAGAGTTGAGAATTTCTCAAATTATTTCTAAACGTTTAATGAAAATTTGTACAAAAAGAAATAAAAAGAGAATTTCAGTTACCATGGTTCCACGCATAACGATTCCTGTGTAATGTTTTTCCATCACTATTAACTCTAAATGGTCCAAGTTCCTCCATTGCACCATATGCAATTGAAGAACAACCAGGACCTGCAGAAAGAAAAATATGTTGTATCAAAACTATATAGTATGACACAATTAAATATAGACACAAATGTTGTACCTCCATTAAGCCAAAGAAGCAAAGGCAATGCGTTGGAATTCTCAGCTTCAGTGAAGTAATAATACAAAGCACGACCAGCAGATTGATTGACAGTAACATAACCACCATATTGTTGAAACTTCACTGGTGGTTGTCCAGGCAATTTGTTGATCCAATCTTTTGCTTTTAATCCCTCCTGTGGAAGAATAACTTTGTCTAATTCTACATTTTCAACGCCTGTCGCCTTATAATAACTCTTGTAAAACGCTGAATTCTTTTGCTTGGCCTTGTAAAACTTGCCAAGGACATCACCTTGCTTCTTACCAAGGGTTGAAGCAACAAAATTTGACAAAAACAGGGTGAAAAGAAGGAAGAAGAAACTAATTTTTCCCATGGTTGTGTGTCTTTTAATTTACTATTGAAAAGTAGAGTTAAGGGAAAGGGTATTTATCATGGAATTGTGTGATTATGATCCAAGATTTGATTCCCATACCATTTCAAAGCCAAATCAAATTGGAGTTGTTAGTGGGATTATGATATAACTTTCTTTAATTATGCATCAGGCCAAATATAGTTGTTGATTTCTTCAACTGAATAATTTTACTATTTTAACTATAAGGAATTGACAATTACTTGTATGAAATTAAAGAATAGTGTAATATGCATAATTTTTTACCAAATATAGTTCTAATGTAGCCTGATTGGAAAAGAATGGTTAGAAAAAATCTGATGGAGCATCAGCACTCACAAACGTATGATATTAGTATATACCCGATTTGTATTTTTTCTCATAATTATGAAAATTTCACGGTTTGTGAAAAATTATTAAAACTTTTTCAATTCTTATAATTTTGTCAATAAGTAAATCATAATTCATAAATAAGGTATCAATAATTGAAATATCTTAAGACGATCATAAAATATCATATATTTTTATGTTCCTTTTTATAAATAATTGTTTGTAATTATATTTTATTACAAAATCTTCTAGAGGTATGTCTTTAGTCCATGCCTCTTTGTTTCAATGGTAATTATGCTAGATGTCAAATAGCTAGTGAATAGAGATTATCTAATTTTATCATTGTTTTGTATCATGAAGATCTTGATAGTTATTTTTTTTATTAAATTGACTCATATAGACTTTCATAATTCGGGCATTTCTGATAACAATAGAAACGAATACAATTGAACTTGAAAATGCAAATTGTGATTCTTGTCGACGTGTTGTTTAGTTTTGCTAATTTTGTCTTAATTATTTTGCGGGAAATCTCTGGTATTCAATGAATGAAGGAAAAGAGAAGGTTTGTGGTGATAGTGATGACAGACAAATGGTGATGATATTAATGGTGGCGAGAGATAAAAGGAGAAAGAAGACAATTTTTTTTTAAAGAAATACTTCTTTTTGGCTTTTCATGCTCTTAGGGAAAGGGTGTTGCACACATTTTACCACATTAGTTATTTGTGTTTAACGAATACACTTTTAATAATGTTAAAGTGTCTAATGGGAACAAACCTTAGTTAAAATATCAAAGTAAAAAGAATTGTTGCTAATTTGTTGGACCTTTATGTGCTTGGCCTTTACATTTCAACTGAATTGAATTGAATTGTCAATTTTTTTCCCACTAAATTTGTTTTGTAGAGATCCTTTCCTTGATTTTATAGTTTAATTTTTGTATGTCAATCAGGTAATTATAATTCAAATACTTTTTTCTAATAAAGTAGTAATACAAATGAATATCTCAATGATAGTATATGGATTTGCTACCTAATACTCTTTACTATAGAAAGTACAAATGATTTAAGAATTTCTTGTTAATTTATCAAATGATTATTATACTTTTTATTTTTTTAATGATAACATACTAAGCAATTATGTTAATCAGACTTTTGAGAGAAAATGTATCTGTCGTTACCTATAGAAATAGGAAAATATCATAGTATATTACCCTATCAAATATTATTACATATTCTAAAATCTTTTTAAGGGTGTATTGTGAATGGAGCTTCCGTGAATGGTATAGTTATATATGATTTAAATTCCCAAATTTTTGAGTCCCAAGAATTTTAATGGTGAATTTTTATTTTATTTTTTCTTAGACAATATTAAGATTATTAAAAATATATAAAATTTAATTAAAAGAAAGAACTATAAACTATTTATTTTTTAATAAAAATATTTCAGGACTTTAAACTAAATTGTTCAAATAATCATATTAATAAATATGGTTTTTTATATTAAGATCCAAGATACTGTATTGAAAACACATAATTAATGTCTTATTAAGAAATAATTCTTATTATTATAAATAATTTATCTATACTATATTAAAAGCATGAAAATTCTTAATAATGTTATTTGAACTTTTTGGCCTTCCTTAAAAGATTCTGCTTTAAACAAAATTATTTTTTCACAATTACCCACCTACTTATACACGTTGGAATATTCTAATCCACAAACAGTTACAAACGGAAGAAGATGGCTCTTTTTATATCTTTATATCTTCTTTGAAATTTTTACTGATTTTTTTAGAAGAGTTCTAGTTCTTGAGTTTATCTTTCCAATTTCATAGAAAATGGTGTCAATTTTTTTTAGAAAGCTTTTGTTTTCAAATTTCTCTGAAAGGATATTGAAATGCTAATAACCGGAATGATATGTGAAAAACAGATTATTCCCAATATCAAATTGTCACAAAATATCGATTGAGTTTATATATCTGTATCTTACCCAAAAGCTAGAGAAAGTGTGATTCGAGTGGATGAACATAAGTGTGTCTTTATACGAATGAATATTTCAATGATAGTATATGGATTTACTACCGAATACTCTTTACTATAGAAATTACAAATAGTTTAAGACTTTCTTGTTAATTTATCAAATGATTATTATACTCTTTTTATTTTTTTAGTGATAACATACTAAGTAATTATGTTAATCAGACTTTTGAGAGAAAATCTATTTGGCATGACCTATAGAAATAGGAATAACACTTTCAATGTTTATTTTTTAATTTTCACTTGATAGTCAAAATTAATTTATATGACTATTTTAAGTTTTAAAATATCATAGTATATTACCCTCTCAAATATTATACATATTCCAAAATCCTACATTTTAAGGGTGTATTGTGAATAGAGCTTCCGTGAATAGTATAGTTATATGTGATTTAAATTTCCAAATCTTTGAGTCCCAAAAATTTTAATAGTGAATTTTATTTTTATTCTTTCTTAGACAATATTAAGATTATTAAAAAATACAAAATTTAATTAAAAGAAAGAAATATAAACTACTTAAATTTAACACATAATTAATGTCTTATTAACTTGAAATAATTCTTATTATTATAAATATTAAAAGCATGAAGATCCTTAATAATGTTGTTTGAACTTTTTGTCGTTCATTAAAAGACACCGCTTTAAATAAAATTATTTTTTCACCATTTTCATTCAATCATTATAACATCATTTAGTGAAATTAAACATTTACTTAAATGGAAGATTTATTCCAAAAAGGGGCCAAAAAAAAGTCCACAAAAATAGTAACCCCAGGCGACTCCTACTCATTTTTCACCATTCTTGAGGCTAAAGGTAAGCTTTTCACTCTCCAAATTAATTTTCGATCTGTAGAACGTAATAGAATGGGTGAATATTGATGGGAGAGGGTTTTGTTATAGATTCTATGGTGGAAACAACCCTAATTTGGATAATTGGGATCATGGATTTGATCTAGGGTTCATAAAATTATTAGTAATTCGTGTAATTAGTGATTGTTTATTGATTCCCGTATTATATTGATTGTTTGTAGACCAAGAACAAGCGAAAAGAATCCGAAAAGGGAAGGATCAAGTTTCTTAGGGTTTCAAGCTTGTTTCGAGGTAGGTGATGGTTGTGATTCTATGATTGTGTGATGTATGTTTGTTCTTGCTTCATTATGATACATGTATGTATATGAATGTCGCATTATTGATCATACTTGTTGTAAATGAGATAGATGAATGATGGTTACCATGAAATCATGACTTAATTGTATGATCTTGAGAATATACTTGTGATTGTGATTGTGGTGTGTTTAATGGATCGGTTGCCACGTTTCGGCATAACTAACTTGGATCGTTTTCCTCGTTCTGGCATAATTATGAGATCAGTTGCCACGTTCCGGCATAATTATTGGATCGGGTACCACGTTTCGGTATGCTAACTGTTTGGGTTTGGGTTGCATGAGAGGACCAATGACTTGTCATAATTGTGTATCATGAGAAAATGTGTGAAGTTGTTCATTGTTTTGTATATGTTGTTGATATTGTATATGTTCGATATGTCCATGAGTTTATAATATTGTATTGACTTGCTTATGTTACCCTTATTGGGATAGTCGTGTGGTCCTACCAGTACACTGTAGTTGTGTACTGATACTGCACTTGCTCTTATTTTGTTGAGTATAGGGTATCTTCAAGTGGCTACTGACAAACCTCGCTTAGTAGATCAATGATCGTCTTTCGAATTCAAGGGTGATCCAATTCTTCCGGGCTGTCATGAGTTCTCCTTTCGTCTATGTCCACATTTCGGACTTAGACAGTTCTATTAGTTATTAGTACATTAGTTGGGGTTGTATCTCTTCTTGTTTAAACTTGGTTCATTGTTAGATGTTTTGGTACATTGACTTTCAGGTTGTAGGCATTACTTCCGCATTGTTAGTTTATTACTGTTAGACTTCTGTTAGAATTTATGGGAACTCTATTTCTTTCCTTAGTATTTTCCTACTTTCGTATACTTAAAATGCCCTAGTTTTGGTTTAGTTTCTTGGTTTGACTTGTAGTAGTGGTTCTCCCATCGGAGAGTTAATGTGGGTGCCAATCACGACGGTCTGGGTCGTGACAAAATTGATATCAGAGCCTAGGTTTGTTGATCTCGATGTACCAAAACAAGTCTAGTAGAGTCTCGCGGAACGGTACAGTGACACATTTACTTTTCTCTGAGTGGCTATAGAACTTTAGGAAATCTCTATATTTTCTCTTGTCTCCTTTTGTGCTATAACTTGATTCCAATTGGTATCTACATCATTCACTCTTCTGTCCACATATGGTTAATAATAGATACAACGGCGCCAGGGTCGTAGCTCCTGTCAATGCTCTAACTGAGAAATCTGCAGCGAGAGGTCGCGATCGAGGCAGGGGTAGATGAAGAGCTAGAGGTAGAGGTCGTGACAGAGTAGCGCCTGCTGGGAATGAAGCTCCTGTTGAGAATGCTCATGTGAATGAGAACCCTCATGCGCATCATGAAGAGATTGAAGAGGAGAATGTTAAAATTGAGAATGTTAAGGATGTGGGACAAGAGGAAGAGGTGCAGGCTGAGACTACCAATGTTCCCCCCATATACCAGTGTTAGCTCAACAAATCATGTCAATCTTG